AGTAATTCTAAGTAGGTAGTTAAAACTACTTACTGGTACTTAGAATTACTTTATTAAGATTTTTACAACCATAGGTAAGTGCCTTGCCAAACATTATTTCAGAGTATGTGGGAGTATTCATTTTAAATGGCAGGTTCAAGCCTTGAATTAATTTTCGAAAATAATTTGTTGCAAAGTGATATTAAACATGTCACACATCATATACATTATTTATCATGAATATGCTCCTTTGGTCACTGAGGCAAAATGAGATCAATATGAAATATATAATTTAGTTTTATTTACCAGTGGCTTTACAAATTTCTTGTTTATCTTTAGGTGGTTCACCCTTTCCACAAATAGATGGCAGGAAAATTGCCAACTAACTTCAGCAAGGATAAAGAATGCCTAAATCACAACCTGTGGAGATAAGTTGCAAGTTGGTGTACCCCTTGTTTGTCCTGAAGACTTCACTGTTTAAAAAACTGATGCCAAATATATCATGGCAAACATTTTCCATTCATCATTTGTTTTTAGCTCCTTCCAAGATAGCTTATGTTGGGCCACACATGATTGATGTCCTAATTGTTAATTTCCTGATTTAATTTGAATATTTTAATGGCTAAGAAGCATATTCCATTTCACAAACACCAAGTACCAGATCATGATGAGATGCTGGAAATATGACCTGGATGCAAGACTACATCCACTGACTTATGAAAGATAAGGAAATCTTACATAAGGTGGGGATTTATTTACACTTTGTTATATTTCTTCATTTCTGTTTTATTTCCAGTGTAATTAAATTAAATCAGTAAGAATAAATAAATAAATAAACAAATTTGACCTGCCTCAATTATCATTTGCTATCCACGGGTCAAAGGAATATCTTGTAATATGTAAGAAAATGAAAAATAGAAGTGTGAAAAGTGTGAAAGTGTGTGTGTTTCAAGGACAAAGGCTAATAGCATGGACTTGATTAAGGTGAATTAAATGATTCAAAGGAAACACAAGAAGATTAAAACCCCCATCTTGCGAGAGAAAAACATGCTGGATAGTTCAATGCGCCACTTTGCTATTCTGACTTGTCCAACATTTCTTAGCTTGCTCCAAAAGCTAACTAATTTTGAGTTTCCTTTATGTATCCTCACCCTTATTACCTGAAATGGAGTTTTTCTATATTCTTCTGCAAAGCAGGCTGCTCTGTTTTCCCCAGATCATGGTGTTCCCTGCAACTCACTTCACTTTTTATGCAAAAATTAGCAATTTGTTTAAAACTATTATATTCATGCTATACTTTTGCATCCTTTAACCATTCAGCCCCTGGGAGTGACTAACAACTAAATTCTCCTCACAGTATTACCCCTGAATGAAACAATAAGGTCATGAGAACAAAGGAAATGATCACCAAGTTAAAAACCCATTGATTGTTGAACAAATTCTCCTTCAAGTGCAATTGGAAATTTATAGAGAATAGAATAGAGAAGATGCAAAATGATCTCAGGGTGCAAAGGGTTAATCAATTTGAGGCAACAAAAGTTTGAAAACAAAATGACCACTTGTTTTCTGA